ACAAACTATGGTTCATCTTAAAGATTATTCAAAATACTTTAATTTCATGTCACTCATATTCGAAAATAAATTTTTAAACTTGGTTTTCTATGTTTTTATATGAACGTAATTTTGTATAAGATAACAACAAGAAAATTCGTTCTTCAACATACCATTTAGAACTATGTTGGGTTTGTAATTACCTTTTTGTACCAAATTTTTAAGATGGAAAAACAATGGAATGAAAACTAGCACCATCGGTAAAGTTCATTGTTTTGTTAATAAAATTTACTTATGCTTTCATCAAATCTATTAAATATCTTAGGAATAAATGATCAATATTGTGTTTTAAATATTCCATAATCACAACAAAAATGTTAAGCTTGGGTTCAGTACTTTTAAAAAATAATAATAAATGCATTCTACGTTGTTTGTTGTTCCAGGGAACTCCTAGAATTTCTTCTGGAGTAACTTCTCACAAATAACGCATGATTATTGAATCCCATTCCCACAATTTTTTCTGTTCGTTTAATGACATTACCTGTTGTTCTGCAGTAAGTACTTTATAAGCATTGTGAGCTGATTGGCGTATTTTTTTAGAAAATCTTCTGTTAAGTGCAGTTCTAAGATTGATCTATCTGTTGGTACCGGCCCATGTTATATTTTTGAACATATCTACATGCAACTGCTGTATTTGTTATACAAGCTCAGATGATACAGAATACTTACTACTCTAGTTGAAATCACTTCAATGAAGGGAAGTGGCGAATTTTTTGAACTATGCAATCTCAGTAACTTCTTAATTTTGTGTTCTTTTTTGCACACTGGATACATTTCTGGTAGTCAAAATTTTCGAAATTCGCAACCGAAAGAAACACCATATTAGTGAACGTGGAGTCGGCTTAAAATCAGTTTTACTTAACATTTCTATCATCGCTGGTATCAGTTTTCTCAAATTTTTGGACCGACGAAGGTGGCTCAGGGCATCAACTGACGTCACTGCAATTCCTCTGACCGGGAAGTCCTAGGGCTGGCGTTACTTAGGAAAATACTTCTATTTATTTTATTGTAATTTAGTTGCCTAGAGAATTTTAGTTGTCAATTGAATCCAGATTTGAATGCAAATGCACATACTTTTTGCTAATGCTTTCTTAGAAAAGTATCACATTTCTTTACGAATCAGCCCATTTGGAGCTTTCCGGTCACATTTTATTTTACATATTTTCGCATATCTGAAGGTTACTGCATATTCCTCCATTTTCAGCAAAATATTTGGAAAAATAAAGTAAACTTTGTTATTTATTTAAACATCAGTGGGTAATTGGTTTATAAAAAAATCTTAAATCAAGCTTCAATCAATCTTGAATCAGATGAATTATAGATACCACGGTTCATAAATCACCTCATTATCTTCATTAAACCCCTAATCATGGTTTGTGTCATAAAGGACTTTACAAACACGGATGACTTAAATCAGTTTTTCTTCCATTTTCAGCAGTCACGGCGAACCTTTGCAGGAAACTGCGTGCAAGGCACTGCGCTCCGCAGGGCCACCACGCGCAGAAACGGCGACGCGTCACCTTGTGCTCTTACGTGCGCGGTCCTGATAGGCATAGTGTTTCGCAAAAACTCACCATGAGTCACATTGAGTCACGTCACAGGCCAGCGTATCAATTTGCGACTAGCATTATGGGACTAATGACCTTGACAGTTGACGCGCCCGGAATCACTAATCAATAACATTTTTGGAACATTACGACCCGAGTTTTTGTAAATTAAAAGGAATTTAAAGGAAACAAACATCGGAGCGCGACACTTTGTCATTATTATTATTATTATTATTATTATTATTATTATTATTATTAAAACACTAATAACAATGCTCATATTTACAGTTCAGAAGTTTTCTAAATGAACGCACAGACGCCTGAACCTGAGACACGCAACCTTGAAGTAACACGCAACGACGACTGTATGAAACATCTGCGATACAAAAAAGAATTCACTATTTGGGTAAATCTGTCTGCTGCTCACTCCACTTCACATACTGCCCAGTCTAAGGGTGTTTGTCTTCGGAGATGAGCGCCAGCTAGAAATGCGCCGCTTTCACAATGGGACGAACTGAACACAAACATTATTTTCATCGCAACCAATGGTTTCTCCATCCTGAATTATTTACATCTTTGCAGATTATTTAAAATGTATTGTAAGCACAAATTTTCAACAAAAAAGCTTTGGCAAGCTGGTTTTATTTCGCTTTTGCCTGTCATAGAAAACATAAGTCCAAGTTAAATAAGCCAATATTGTATTACATTTTCAGCAAACTATTGTTTAAGATTGTCAAGTTATTTAAAGTTAAACCTTTTTTTATTTTGAAAAAACTGACACTACATGTTGCAAAAGACGTATTCTCTGCCAAATTTGAAAAATATATAACTTCGGAGAGAATAACATTAAGCGATTTAATAAAAACACAGGCATATTTGGTTTGTAGAATATGACCAAATATTAACAAGAATATTAAAAATGCTAAGTTTAAATTTTCCTCGAAAGTGTTCGATTTCAGTTCTAAGTGAAACAAAATATTTATTAATACGATTCCTTTTACGAAATAATGAAACAAATTTAAGATTTTAAATTCAATGTTATTAATTTCCATTTAATGATATGATTTATTTATTAACTGAACTTAATAATCATCTGAAAATGCTCATATCAGGTAATATAAGAGGCACAATGGCGAGGCGTGATATTTAGCCGTAGTTATCACTAATTTGCCGAGAATTCGGGTCTCATTCTGAAGCGGCGAGGAGTAGTCGCAATATGGTAGCGTTATCTGTTTTTATATGCTCTGAACTTTGCTCATTTTTAGATATTTTTTCATATTTTTTAGATAAATCTTCTGAAATTCCTTCAGGCAACACCGAAATGCTTCATAAGTGACGTCAAAATTTAAATTCATTCAATCCAGTAAATGTGAAATAGAATAATTATATTAAAATTCGTTTGGTATTTGGTGATCATTCATTATGATTATTGCTTGTTCTGCAAGAAAGCGCACCCCTTCACCGCAAATAATTTGAAATGGGCTTACAGTCGACTGGGCAGTCGTTGACATTTCAGCATTCCTTGCATCAAAAGGACATTCCAAATAACCACGAGCCGAACTCCTCGTCCAGAACTCGAGGCACTGTGTAGAAAACAGGACGAATGTCTTACGATTGGAAGTTGCGTTCCCGCCGCTCACGAGCTGCAGCTGGGGTTCTACTCTCAATATCTTGCGGTGTCACATCAGCTAATCGGTACTGGATATCTTCTCGGAAGCATCGGAGCCCTTCGCGACGGCTCTGCCAGACTTGAATAAACTAGATATTGTTGAGCTTTCAAATACAGCCGAAGCAAAAACGAATACAGAAACGCTAGACAGTACTATACTCATTCTTGCAACAATCATGTAAACGACCTGTATATATGTATAAATTGATATTCTAAATGTGTGAAATTCATTAAAGTATATATAATTGTATACCTAAATAACTTGACTCTCACAGCGCACACTTGCTTAGTGCTGTCCACACATGGCTTTTGAGAAGTGTCCGCAGTAGTACCTCGTCATGCGACCTTTCTTATGATAGCCGTCGCTCCATTATGATTCTTAAAGGATTGCACTATTTACGTCGTTTAACAGACGCCGCCTTTGTAATCTAGGATTAAAATGGTAAAAATGTTTGTTTTTTTAAATTTTTTTAAACTACAGCTCAGCAATTGAAAAAACTGAAAAAATTCACGTTTTTATGTTTTATCAAGAACTTTTGAGATTTTTTCAAGCTTGTCCCAGAGTTCTAAGACAGTAACAAAATGATTTGTTATTTTTTCAAAAAAAAAAAATTGTTTTCTGGCTGTAGGAGGGTGTGGGTGGTGGTACGGGGATAAGATATCTTTCAAAAATAGAATGTGTATGTTCGAATTATAGTGTAACTTACTTATATTCCATTTGTTTTAAGGGAACTTTTTACCATCTTATGCGAGGGGAACCTTTGCCCCCTCTCCTCCAATAAAAGATCCGAAATACCGCCTGTGTTTCAGTAAGTACTACAAAACAACGTACATTACTAAATATCTAGAGTCGAGCCGTTCTGTTGTAGTGACAGAATTTTGAACCACTAACAAACCCAGTAAACTCAGTCAATCAGGACGCACACAAACGCAATACACCTTTTCCATCACAATTTCACACTAGGTCGTAATGGCACGTTTCACTACGCATGATCGGGAATTGCCAAAAGTCTATGAAAACAGCAATGACTGGAGTGATTAAGCTAAGGAACACGACACAAAGCGGCCGGATGTGTTACCGTGAGGGACGGCGAGCTCTCAATTCTAAGTGCTTTCATTTACGAGCTTCTTGTTGTTTCACGGTAATTTCTCACCTTTTTTTACTATTACCGTTAAAATATCCTTAGATTGTTTTTCCTAATATTCAATTCTTCTCTAAATATTGAAAATGTATTATGATAATTTCCTTTCGTTATCGGTACTTGTATAACTGTCCGAACGTCTCCCCACAGACGAGGCGAAAATCCTCATCCTTTACTTGCGAGCAGAAACAAATTTTAAAGAACCAAAGTACAAAAACTATGTCAGGATGAAAGTTATGATTTCTGAATTGTTGAAAGATTCGTTAAGACTATCCATATACATTTTTTAATTATTAAATTTCAATTACTTCCAAACAACTCCAATAATTCTTAAAATTATTGTCTCATTTTACTGAAATTTGAGTGAGAGATTTCTGCGTCAACATCTGAAGGATTTCCCTTAAATGTATTGTTTAAATGTAGTTGTTTTGGGAATTAAAAATTTCCCTTTTATCATTGAAAACAGTACTAGATTTTAGAAAGTTTTCAAGTCAGTGTAGGTGATATTTCTTTGGAATAGAATATGAATGAATGAATATATATATATATACACAGAGAGAGAGAGAGAGAGAGAGAGAGAGAGAGAGAGAGATACAGATATATAGATATTCCAAAGATATCATCTCAGACAAACAAATAAGTACAATATGCAGTAAATATATTTTTAACAAAATTTTTACATTAGTCCAAGGAACCAAAATGTGCCAAACACTAGACCTACATTATTTTAAGGATGCCTCATTTTCACAATCAAATATGGGCAAGTCAACTCTTTTGGTTATTGAAAAAGAGAGAATTTTTATCTTCTATTATTATTAATTTAATATTTATATATGTACATGCTTCAGTTAACAATAGAATACAGGAACTGCTTGGTTTTGGGAAAGACAAAAGTAGAACTTCATTGCTCTGTTAATTTTATTAAACAATTTGTGCAAGATTTATCACCACAGGACTTGAAATAAAGAAACTGAACAATTCTTTTTGTAAAATTTTATTCAAGAACTATGTTTTCTTGCTTTAGTGATTCAATGAAGACCTAGAATCATTTTCTTTAAAAAAGTTTCACTGGTGTCTACAATGTCAGGAGTGTCATCAGTATGCAAACCATTCTGTAAAAATGCACTTTTACAATTTATGTTGCAAGGAGTTACAACAACGCAATTAATGCACTGTTAGTAAGTCTTGCCACACAACTGAATTTTGCTTTATAAGCTCAGAGTAGGCTCAAATTAGTTTCATACTGTCAACACATTATAATTACAAATTATCTAGATTGATAATACCTTAAAATTACAATTATTCTAAATGATTGGTCCAGATCGGCTAAGCCACCATGTATAATAGTAATATGGTCATTTCTTTGTTAGCAGCAACAGCAGCAATAGCATGATACTTTCACAATAGTCAAGGAAACTTTGTACAGATAAACACTTATTGTTCAAACATGCACATTTATACAAATTATTTACATGATTATACCACAAAGTCTGTAGAAAGTGATATGACTCCACATGTGATCATATTATCTCCAATTCAAAAGCAATACACAGAACCTAAAGTTCTCTATCTTCTTTTGTTTAACAGTTTAGGCACCATTTATAACAATATTTACAAACTGTATGGAGTTTATTATTCACCCATATTTGCATTCTTATTCCCTCAATCACAAAACACACTGTCTTGCTCTACTAATAATACTACAAGCCTACAATATTCTCTTCATAACTATGCTACACAGAATGAGGAGAAACCTGAAGTTCTCTCAGTACACGCAAAAATTGTAGCTACATGGTAGGCAGAAGGAAGAGAAGACATAGGATGAATTATATGGCAGTCTCCTCAAATGAGAATAGCAAGATTTATGTTTATATCATGTTTTCTATTATCAAGGTCTAAGAAAGAAGGCACAGCGATTGCTTTCATGATTAAGTCATATGGAAATCCACAAGAGAGAAGAAACCTATGAAGCATTTACTTCTGTAGTGGCAGTGCTGTACTGAAACTCACAGAATATTTGAAAAGCGGTTAATTTAATGGAATACTCCATGATGAAAAATGTAATACAAATCAAAATATGAATGCACCCCACAAAATCCACACACAAGCAAAACAAATTCAATTTCTGCAGTGTGATGTTTCAATTGACTTGTTTACAGTATTACATGAAAAGCAATGTCTTTATCTTAAAACCTATTTCACAAGAGAAAATCATGCAGTCAGTGACGTAGCCAATCTCCCAGCCTTTTGCTCAATAAAGGATATAAAATTTTCTCATTAAAAAAATTATTAACGTACATATTTATGTGCAAACTTTTCATAATAAATAATTTCGTATTAACAAGCTTATAGTTCATAAGAATTATACAGAGTTTTGGAAAATAACTCTATTATTTGCATTTTAATAATTTATGTAAAATTGCATATTTTAGTGGCTACGCTACTGCATGCAATATCTACAATGATTAAGTCGAAAGTATAATATGAAATAACTAACTTGTACTTATGCTGCCATGCATGTACATGAAAATGAATTGTCCATGTATTTGCATTTTGATTGTTCAATAAAAGGGCATTTATAAAAATAATGAAAAAGCACAACAGCACTTGCAGGTCACACAGAAGGAAGTAGAAAAAGGGGTTTGGAAGTATGTCATAGCTGATATGAAACACATACACAAGCTTAAACATGTCAAAAAGACAGGCAATATTGTCGAAATTTCTCAGTGAAAGGAATACTGAGGTTATGGTTTTGTATTGGCATAGCACATAACCACAAAATCTCTGCACTTTGTATTTCATACAACCAGTGCAGAACACAGGTACAGTGTACAGTATTGAAACTGAAGTATAGACTCTTCAAAAGTGTAGAGTATATATTTTGAAATGCTTTTAGGCTAACATACAAATTTGCTCTGTTCAGCCAGAAGTGTCTTTGTATTTTTGAATTGTACTTTCCAATTAGCTCAATGATTTAGAACATTTATAGCAATACATTTGAGTAAAGAAAGTCCTTGTAAGTAGGCCTTTGATTTATTGCTGAACATCATTAAATTATTCCAAGGGAACATTGTTCAGTTAAGAAAGTTAATAAAGCTGTCAAGGGTATTTATGTGTTTTTTTAGCTGAAACTTGCTACACATTACTGTATTATGATTATTAATAATATTATTAGTATGTACTTTAATAATTACAGTATGTTGATTGGCATAAATTACTGAGCAAATGTTGTTAATTACAATATTAATTGTAGTGTGTCGTGCACAATACTACTAATGAACAAAGAAATCTTCATTATTTCAACTTTACCATTCATTAAGAGACTTACTAACAGTCACCAACTTATTTTTGTCTCTCATGTACACCTGCTACCATAATTTGCAAATGACACTACAATTTCAACTACCAAAAATGATTTCTTACTCACAAATGTTATATCCTGATTTTATTTAATGATGAGAAATTCCACAGAATATAACGTGTATTGCATTCAGCAGCACCAGATTTACCTTTCTGGGGCCCCCAGTGTAAGTAGAAAGAGATTCTTTGTTATTTACTTCTGAGTTTCAAAATAATTCAAATGTTCTTTTTCTTTTTTTTAAATAAATCATATTTTTTCATCAATGCTAATATAAATAATTATTAGTAATAATATGGAATATTATAACATTTCCGACAGAAAAATTAAGCAAAGAGCGGGGCCCCAAGCAGTAGCTCATTTTGCTAGTTGATAAATCCAGCACTGTCATTCAGTAACTCTAATACACATTTCAGTGTGGTTTCATATCAGACAAAATTTCAGCTCCAGTTAAATACTTGGTATCTGGAAATTATTATACCTACAGGAACTGAGAACAGGAACACCTTTGGTTCGTTTTAAGTACTGATGGACCTTTCAAGCAGTGCTCAGTAGATATTATTGTTATAGTAGATACATTAATATCATAAATTTTTCTAGGTAGGTAGCATCACAACGTTTTAAATTTATTTATTTTGTTTCAGTAACATATACCCTAGAAGCCCAAAGAATGTGCCCATTGGTGATAAATATTTCTCATCTATAGTAAACAAAAAATTGTTCTAGGGTAATCTATCTTCATATGAAATTCAAATTGTAAATACTACAACTTCTAATATTAGAAATCTGAGGATTCCAGTTGCAAGATGAAAGGCATGGGTATGATTACTTACAAACTCATATAAGCTTGAACACTGATTACTCTGCCAGCAGAGAGTGAATCATTCTTGTGAACAGAAAAGAAAACTTTTAGAATGATATTCTTCTGCAATGTTTTGCATCATGAGAAATTCTTTAAAGAACTTTCAAGTATTTTCTTAAAAATAAAAGTGAGTGGCCTCTTTTTCTAACTATCACTGCATTTTTGGGTGTATGTATTTCATATTTAAAACTGGAAAGCCATATGCCTCCTCTCTTTGTACATAGAGCACACCCTTGAATCTAGTTTAAGCGTCTCAATTGCATTTGAAATCTACTTTGCACTACACAATTTAACTCGTGAGTTATTATGAAAATGAAAAATGCAACGCTACTTTCATGTTCTGGAATGATATGCGAGGACACACTCCTTCTTGTAGCTTCCAGGTAATATTAAAATACGAACTGCAAAAAATAGGTACATGATCTAGAGAAAATTCTTGATGAAGGGTACACATTTGGATAAAATTCTGATTCTGGAGAACTCTTTCTCAATGATTTATAACTCTCAATATTCTATTATCTGTCTGTGTGGTTCTACTAAAGAAGCAATTTGTTTATTTTAAAGTAGCTATCCAAAGTTCTCTTGGTCTACATATGGTGCTGACTGTTGAATTTCAATTATAAAATTATTCTAATAAATTAGTTTATTTTAGTTAATTTTAAAGTCAATTGGTAAAATAAAAAAAAAATAAAAAATATTTAAATTACACTTTAATTTAATCATATTATTTTATTTTTATTTGAATTTAAGATAATATGAAAGCACACATTAACCACAATCCTCTTGTATGATTAAAACACAACATTTTTCTTAACACAACTGATAGATACCATTGTATGCATTTGTATGTCATATAATAATAATAATATTGATAATGATGATAACATGTTGGATTTGTAGACAAATTCTAGAGATCTGTGGGAAGCTACTAAGTAAATATACAATTAGGTATGATTATGTTAAACAGGTTAATTTTAATCTTAACCATAAAATAAGAATACTGATAAATACACTTAAAGAAAGTAATAAAAACAGTGACTGTAGTATAAAATATTTTGCTCTGTATCTCTTCTAAAATATCACTAGCCAGAAAGATATCACCAATAAAGAGGGCTAATCATGCCATAAGTTAGTTTTCCAGTTTTGGTCAAAAAAATCAACCAGAATTGTCAAACGCTGTAGAATACCTAAGGTAAGTTATTATGTATTCATCTAACAGGGCACATGTGGAAACACACTTACCTATCACAAGCACATACTGCACATTTCATTTGTCAGCATTAGCTTATTTGTATATAATTCTTTATATATTCAGTCAAAATGGAGCAAAGCTTCCACACCCAACAATAAACCAACACGAGAGAGGACAATGCATACTTGCTTGATTTTATTGTCTCTTGTGTTAGTTTATTATTAGCAATGATTATTGTTTCGTTGGATAAAAAGTCTCTAGAACTATGCAATCAGTGCTGTTCTGGTTTGTACCCAAGATTCTTTCTCTGTAAAAACAAATGTATTTCCCGAAAATTTGGTCTTTCTGATTCATTTCGTTGCCAGCATTCAGTCATCAAATCATAGATTTCTCTTGGGCAGTTAATGGGCAACTGAAGAAGAACCTGTGAAGAAAAACATTCCATTTTTATTATGAAAAATATTAGTTCATGCAAGTTCTAGGGGTCGTTTAATCAGTATTTTTGTTACCTAGCATAAAATATTGAATTACTTTGAAACATTTACCATCTACTTTTTAAATAAATTAAATAAATGAAAGCCTTTGCATTAATTTTTTTCTTTACACCTTTTTTTTTACAGAACAAAAATTAGATCACAATAAAGAACACTATTTCAACCAAAAAAACAACAACACAAGAGTAAGTTTTCTTCAGTTCTGTCATACTCACATGTTGTCCATTGTTATGATAATAGTGAGTAGCATTTTCAAGTACTTTATCATCAGTCAAATCTTCAAATGGTTGTTCCCTTGCAAATGTAAGAATCTCCCAGAGAGTGACAGCAAAGGACCACACATCACTTTTCGTGGAGAATTGGTTCTTTAAAACAAAGTAATTAAATACAATATTAGGAATAAAATTGAAGTTCAGATATAATAATTGGCTTGATCTTTAGTAAGATAAATGTCTACTAGCCATACTATAAAAAAAGGGTAATAAATATATCTGTTTCAACTGAAAATGTGCAATAAATATATTATTTCAAGAAATGAAACAAAGCATTATAAAAAAAAAATAAAGAAAAATCTAATTATTGTTTCTGAAAACATCACTCTAACAAATCTTTCTGGGAAGCTTAAAAATCCAGAAATTTCAGAGGTTCAAAATATAAACAAAAGAAAAATCAGTTTCTCAGTGTGTATTGCTCTTGAATAAAATTCACCAAACTGCTATTCATATATATTCAAATTTCATGCAAAACTGTAAACAGCTTTTAACTCTGAGCAAAGGGCAATGTTATTCATCTGACATCATCATCATCATCATCATCATCATCATGATAAAAAGAAAAAAATATATACATACAATAACATTTTGACAAATTATAACTTAAACTTTTGACATTCCTTTCAGCCCCATCTATAGTAATAAGTTTGAGGTTCCACCAAGTCATTCATAAAAGGCAAGGGTGAAGTATTTCTACGAAGCAAATGTACAGCATATTGGGATATGTCACAATCTTCTTATTGCCATAAATCAAAGTCACAATTTTTAATTTGAAAACAGATAACTCATTCACTCATTACAGTATTTTTTAATACTATGTTGGAGATTTTGAAAGAACAGCCCATAAAAGTTTCATGATTTTTAAATATCATTGGGTAAATCTTTATTTCTACTAGGAAGGAAAATTACGGAAGAAAATAAGATAGTGAAAAGCAAAATATTATTGTTGGGAGAACTACTATTTGTAAATTGATGTTCTACAATGGGAGGAAAGAAAACAGAAAAAAATCAGCAGAATGTATTTTTGGAAGTGTTGAATTTTCCATCATATATTTCATACCAGAGATAATTTTTTGGAAGATATCAATGAATTAATAAAAGATAACATAGGAAATAATTGTATAGTCAATATACTACTCATGCTAAAAATACATATAGCAAGCATAAAAACCAATAACATTTCATAAAATCAGTCAGGCAATCAAGAAAGTACAATAAAACATTAATTAAGTATGCAGAAACTTCATACATTTAACTGCTTCACTTGTGCTGCAAAAACAATTAGGATCAACTACAATATCAAAATAACATTTATATGTAAATTTCATGAGACGAATTGAGGTATAAACTCAGATAGCAATGGTTTAAGAACTAAACAGAAAGATACAAATACAAGCAGTTCAAGGTGGGCACTATAAAAGTTGAGCCAAATGGATAGGAATTGCACAAAACAAACATGCCTGAAATATTAAGTTAAACAAGTGTCCGTCAGTGATAATAATACTGTACTGAATGGAACTTCCAATAACAAGACAAGTGAACATAGAAACAATCTACGAAGAGTTACAATTGTTTGATGAAACTACATATGGAACATTTGTGAATGATTTATTTCTCAGTGAGTCACAAAATATCTAAGAAGAGTTTATTATAACAGTAAGAAGTACTAAATATAATTAATAGTTAAAGAAATGAAATGGTTAATAAGCCTTCAATAAATGGTTATGGGTAATAAGCCTTCAACAAATTGTAAAATTAATTCATTTTGTACATTTTCAATTTAAATGCTCATTGTTTGACATGTACGACATCTGTTTCGCATTGTAAATGAATCTTCTCCACCCATTGCTGATAAAATAGCCATGCATTATAAATTTATCTCTGTTAATTTACAGTATTTTCAAGAATGGTTATTCTAAGTTACATGTATAAAAATGTTTTGAAGAAAGAGCTCTTCATAAAAGTAGTCCCAGTCCATTTGTTTTGAATTAAAATTTCTTTTAAAAAGTTTAGAAAACAAGCCAAATTGAGGCTTTGTATTCTCACGTATCTCTAGTGTCCTCCTCAGAAGGGCTTGAGTTCAATTTACAATGCAACACAACAGCTGGTAGAAAAGCTGTTCTCACCAGTATTATACTCTCCCAGGCCATCCACCGCACTGGCAGCATGGCACAGCCTTCACCTTTGTAATAGTCAGCAGCGTACATACTGCGACATGTGCCTATATCATCCGAGATCTTCACGTGGTACTTGTCCCCCACCAGGCAGTTCCTGAAAGCATGGTTTCCTAACAATACACCTACTTCATCATGGCTTCTCAACTTGTGAACATATTTGAATTTTAAATTGTTCACCGTCTTGCAATATTCTTTGTTTTACTTGTCAAGTAATAATAATGCTACAGATGCAAATAAGTCAAGGAAGAAAGTTCTTTAAAGCCCCTTCACATTACTATATTTCTCCAGAAATAGATGGTATGTGAAATAAATTATGCTAACATGTGACAAAAATTTTGTGTATATATATGTACAATTATCTGTGATATGAAGTTAGAAATGATTTTAAGTACGACATGTCTTTGATTGGAGTAAAGTGCCATATAGTCTTCTGATAAGGAATATAGTAGTCTAATTACATCTTCAAGATTATTCATTTAGAATTCTCATGTGAACAAGTTGAGGAACCATCTACCAGTCTAAAATTGTTGCTCCAGTCCATGCATTTAGCAGTCAGGAGTACAAAATGTTTCAAATGATCTGTAAGCACAGTGTATAAAATATCACTCACATTCCATGCAAATATTCATCAAAATCATAAATGATAAACAATAATAATTTTCAGAAATTTTAAAACATAAATGCAAGATTCACAACTTACAATCAGAGCAAACACACAAAACACAGCTCATATTCATTTTAATGCATACCAAGTAACAAGTCATTTAACATGAAATTGGACTTTGACAAATTTTACCAATTCTGTTTACACAGATAGGACATAAACTTACTGAAAAGTCAATGCATTTGATAGACAACATTTAATGCCTTTTCTTACCAGTAGATGAGCCTGAAATTGAGCAACACTAATTAATGGTCTAATGAGACTGATACTTTCTACTTTATGAAATAAAATTACTGTAAAAATTTTTATAAATGTGTTATTAAAATTACATTTAATTTTGAAAAATAAAATTATATTAAAGAAAATATATCAATAATCAGTCTCAGACATTCTTAAGAAAACTAAGGGTTATAAAATTACAAAGACAGCAACTTAGTTAACAGATTTTATATATGCTCACACACTCATCTACAAGTTCAAAGCAAAAAAGAAATAAAAATTTGTAATTTAACTCAAAATGATAGGAAGTCTGAATATTAATGAAACCAACAACTGTTGCTTGAAACAAGTTACAAAAACAATATCTATCATTAAATGTCTCAATGTTTGCCAGATAAAACAAGGTGCATTGTGAAAGCAGACAAATAAATGAAAGCAGAAAAGAGAACTTTCATGAAATATTGCATACAATACAATAATAAAGTTCATTGTGTCACATTAAACAATACAATATCAATTCCAACAAGTCATTCACATCATTCTTCAAAATCATTTACACAAAACTGTGCATAAAAAAGATGACAATTGATATATACATACATATGTTTATCAATAGTCACTTTTCCATCAAGAAAAGATTAAGTGCTGAAGAAGCATGCAAAGTATAGGAATTACAATGCCTAAGCATAATATTTGTTCACTATAACACTTACCGAGTAGCCAGATCTCGATGCACAAATCTCAGAGATTCTAGGTATTTCATTCCTGATGCTATCTGTGTAGCCATGTAGATAAGGCATCCATAACTGAGCAGAAAAATAAAAATAATTCAATAAGATAGTCTGTAAAAAGTAATACTTTTTTTCACCTGAAAAATAGTTATTAATAATGATTTCTAAATATATTACAGTCAACATGAACAATATGCCATATTAATAAGCGTGAAATATGATGATCTTTCAATTAAAACAATTATGGTTCAACTCATGACAATTAATTCGCTGTGTTGCAAATTAATAATTACTGTGTTGCAAAAGCATTATCATTCACAAAATTTTAAGAAACCTCACAAATCATAAATGAAGGAATAAAATCAAGACATACATGCAGTATGTTACAAGAAAAGAAATTGATATTTTTTTTCTCTTTAATATTTTCACCTCAATTAGGGATTCATAATCACAGCATTCAGATCTATGATTCTCTTTAAAGTAACTTTTATACTCCCAAAAGAAAATTTGAGAGATGGGCATAAAAATGGCACACACCTTGGTAATTCGACTCTTGTAGTTAAAACGTAGGTCTACTATCTTAACAATTAATATCACTCCATGATTTCTCAATCATCATTGCACAATTACCTAAGAGTTCGTGCACTGTGAGGCCGTGTACAAGCAGTCTCTGCAACGTGATTTTGTAGTAACTGATTCAGATCTTGAGGCAAGTACTGTTGTATCACACAAAGAGGCTCTTCTTGTAAGCTGGCCCCAACCACAGCTACTATATTGGGGTCTCGTAGTCGTGCCAGATGACAAACTTCTCGCCGAAACTGCGCCCTGCAGATAAAAATTCCAAATAAGTTTGCAAAATACTCACTAATACATTTTTTTGAACTTCAGGTAAACCACCACAAGGCACATATAGTGACGCGAGAGTTGCTTGCACGACATTAATTAAACGTTAACACAATAATATTTTAAAATTTGTTTGCCTATCCCTCATTAAATGGAACTAAATAGTTGCTAAGACTTCTGTGGTATCCCCTGTGTATTAAGCAAGTGTACTTCATTGAAGCATATTTATTATTATTAATATTTTTATTAATTCTCACATTTTCAACTAAGCCCAGAGCTACAGGGGGGGCAGGGCACAACTCCTTCCAAAATATAAAAAATAAACCGTCTCTATCTCGAACAAGAGATGATAGATTCATAATATGTGTTAGAATTAAAATAATATAATGACATCTCATATGAATGTGTAAACGCAAAAGCAGTTATTTTACCAGACTCCCATCAGTACAGTCTTTCACTAAGGTTGTCGTAATGTGACCGAAATACTTGTACAGAATGAGTCACTTCATATGGTAAAAAATGCGTGTTACTTATAATGTTAGTGATGAATATTTCCCTTATCGTTTTGCCACATAAGTACAGATTCCTGTAGAAAGTATTTTTTTTTGTAATTTTCCAATTAAAGTATATTAAAGTTTTTCATATCTCGTATGGATGAAAAAATGCCAAACTTTGTCACTTGATTTCGCGAATGGTGTCTTTCGCGGTATGGTATATATATATATATTAAATATATATACTATATATATATATTATATATAATATATTATATAATAAATTAAATATATAATATAGGATAGCTGCCTTAACGCTCGGCCAAATGTGAGGAGATTATCATGGCTCTGATAGAGAAGAACACCGGTGTACCTCACCAGAATAGATAAGCAGCTACCTAAGCTTTTATTGAAGACAATTGAAGATTGAAAGAAATTTACGAAGCGAAGGGCAGATTTACCTATTGATCGAAATTGACCTGTGTGTCCACAAGGTTAGAACTTCGTCTGCCATGGATTATTATGTAGACAGTGTACTCGGGCATAAAACTCCCCGAAAATGTCTCATAGTTGGTTTCAGCAGACGATGCAATAATAGTGGCGACGGGGAACATGGCCCTATAAAAGAACATCGTTACTGACACTGAGAAGAGTGGTGAGGTGGTTGATGTCAAAAGGGCTGGAAGTGGCAGCCATAAAACTGTGAAGCATTACTCAACACGAAGTCGACCCTACCCAACAGACATTCCTAATGGCAAAGAAAAAAAATACAAAAAGTCGGCAAGAGGCTTCGCTAGAAGTAGGAATGAGAATCGACAGGAAGCTAAGTTTTGGACTGCCAAAAACATACTGAGACGAGGAAAAGACAACTAGGATTACTCAAGCTAGATGCGAACACGTCAGGGTGCCACCAGCCTGGGTAATAAGAGGCAGACTTCTATAGTGTGATGCACTCGGGAAATTGCTTAACGACTTCGGATATGGGCAGAATAGTTTCAAAACAATACATTTGAGGATGAAAATGCAGACAGTACAGAGAAAGGCATAAAACAACGGCGTAATATAACTGATCTGGAAGATGCTGTCTTCATGACGGCGACGTCCTCCTATGAACTGCTTGCTCTAGAAAGGAAAGAAAGTTTACGAACTACTTCCCATGAAAAGAAGGCAAGGACGGCGAATGAACCAGATAGGGATAGGCAATTAACAAAGCATAAAGAAACGTGATGCAGACCGCTGGCAGTAAGCGAAACCGGTAGATGGTTTTGTGGTTTAGTGGGTTAAAATTCATCCTGGTTGGGAGTGCGGCCTCGATCTTGTTTTGTTTGAAGATTTTCACAGTTCTCTGCGTAAAAACGAAGATGAGATAGATAGTGGGGTAGGTAGAATAGTAAATGATTATATATATATAAGTAATATATATATATATATTAATTATATATATATATATATGAGAGCGAGAGATGCCTTATCTGATCGCCTCTATGTTGTTACTTGTTTCCAGAGTGGGTTAAACGGCTCATTATTGTATCGGATATAACGAAGGGGTTACCTATGTATGTCGTTATCACCATGAATAATAATGACAGTTGGAAAATATATAAAATTTTTGAAAAGGCGATCGAATAAAATACATCGTTGTATATTACACGTTACTGCAAGACCATTATATACTCGTTAGTAATTCTATACTCGCGCTAGAGAGCGCACTCGTGAATAACGCAGGTCCACACGGATTTTCCTTTTTTGATTTTTACACTTGTTTTATACCTAAGTTGGTCACCCGAATATAATAATGCCCTTACTTTTGTTCTGTACTTCACAATTTTAACTAATTTCAGTAATTGTGAATTGTATATTATTGAAAATATACACATTATCTTCAATGCGTTAGAAACGCAAAAGTGAAACAACCAACTATGATATTCGAATGCATCTCAAGCATAGTGTTTCGAAGAACTAATTCGTTTGTTTAAATATTTGTTGTGCTCAAAGAAAGTGTGGGAATGACAAATACATTTTGTTATATTTGTGGACATTCTATGATTGCAAAACAGAAACAAAATATAATCTGATTTGTTACAAGTGTTTCTGACACTTATTTTGGAATGACACTGGGGAATGAGTATAAGCCGCGGTCTCTCGTAAAGAGTGCAGTGTTTGTGTTGCAGAGTTAAGAAACTGGTCGAAGGGGAAGAGGAAGGCACTGAGTTTTGGAGTTCCTATGGTGTGGCGCGAGCTAAAGAACCATTTAAACGATTGTTATTTTTGTATTTGCAAAGTAAAAGGATTCAATACAAAGAACAGACACGGAATGGTTTATCCTGATTTGGAGTCTGCTACAAGGTCTGTACCATGTGGCACTGACGTTCCTATACTAGAACTTCCTTCGAACCTCTAAGTACTACATACTGATTTAAGTTTAACGCCAGGCGAATCAGCTGAGGAATCTGATTGGACAAGTACAGAACACAAACCCAAACCTTAACATAAACAGAACAGAGCGATTTGGTTAGAGATTTAAATCTCTGAAAGAATGCTTCTGAAGTTTTCTTTCACGTCTGAAAGAAAATCTTCTAGCTCCAGGATCGTATGTTACAGTTTACAGACATAGATAGACTTAGTACGGTTTTTAAGCGGGTAAACTCCTTAGTTTATTGCACTCATATTCCAAATCTCATAAATAAGTTCGGAGGAGAGAATAAAACAGATAGATGGAGGTTTTTTTTTAGCCGAGATAATTTAACAATAAGAAAAGGGCCTACAAGAAACACAATGATTCCAGGTTCCAAGAATATTATAGAAAACAGCTTAGTAAATCCTGACAAAATTCCTCGCTTACATATTAAATTAGGATTAGAAAAGTACCTTTGTAGGACCGCAGATCAGAGAACTAGCTAAAGATGAACATATTAAAGCATGTCTGACACCTCCGGAAAGGGAATTTTGGATTGATTTCAAAGAAATAGTTCATAAGCTCTTAGGAAATTATGAACATCTAAACTATGGGAATTGCGTGAAAATATGCTGAAAAAATATAAATCCTTAGGATGTAACAGGAGTCTGAACATGCATATTTTTCACTCCCATATAGACTGTTTTTCAGAAATCCTGGAAGCAGTGAGTGACAAACTAGATGGGAGGATAGATATCACCAAGATATTAAAAACATTGAAAGGCGCTACCAAAGGCGATGGAATACATCAATGATGGCTGACTACTGTTGGTTACTGCAACGAGATGATCCTACTAAAGTGCACAGGGTAACAAGTGTAACAAGATTTTTGTCTAAGCGACTACAGTTCTATTGATTTTTCATAAGCATGAAAACCAGTGATTTTAATAGTTACGTTTAACAGTAAAGTAATGACCTTAAGTTAAAGTGTTTAATTTTCATTTTCTTAACTCTGATGTAAAAAAATAATGTAAGGTAAACTGTATTTCAATTCACAATTTTTTGTCAATCAATGTTTTCAGATTTTCAAGCTGAATATATTATAAAGATTTTTAAATGTACATTTTTTTAAACCTGATCGTTTATGCAATCCTTGCACTTTAAATATACAAAATCAGTTATTGGATCTAAAAAATGGTGGCAAATATATTTTTTGTAGACCTCTGTAATCAACCAACTTGCCCATAATTATATGTTTTAGTAACTTGTAGGATAAATTACTTTTTTGTATACCAGCATTCTAATTTACCTCTTTTGTTGTAAGAATTCGTTCATAAAATGACATGGCACAGACCAAGACTTATTAGCCGTCACAGATACAGCCAATCGCAGCGAGTGAATCGTCGGGAGGCGACTGTAAACTGCACAGTCGACGTCACGTGACGTCATAATAAAGTTGTTTCCAAAATTTAAATTCATTTTGAAAGATGACTACTAGCAGGGGCAAATCAAAGAGGTATTTCGAGGGTGAGGGGATCGCACTTCACTCCCAAATACATATTTTGGAATAAAAAAAACCCTTAGCTTCAAATTGACAACATGAACAATGGTTTGGTTTTAATATTAAAAAATGAAAACAACTTGGTAAAGAGGACACTGTTTTGAAATGTGATGCGATCAATGGGTGGTAATAAGGTACAGGTACCCCTGTGCAACTGCACACAGGCCGGTGTGGCCCAAGGGGGAGGTGAAGGTAAAGCTCCACCGTCGGTTCAAGGAGGAGGTGTTCTGGCGAGTTCCGACCGCCTTTTCTACCAGGGAAAATCCTGGTACTCATAAGGAAGCTGAGCACAATGGATAAAATACCCAACCTCTACCGGGATTTGAACCTGGGTCCTTCAGGTCAGGAAGCCAGTGCCCTAAATATGTGGTAAATGTTTTCAAGTACGATTTCGGTCAAGGTGCTCACGCTCCCCTGTGGATCTACCACCCACTACGATAGTAACGACTGTTGATGAGAATTTAAAAAAAATGTTGATCAGATAAACAAAATAATTTCCAATTGAGACAAGGGGGTGAAAGGATTAGTATAT